TATGCCTGGTAAAGGAAATGCCAAGTTTAAGACATAATAGGCTGGTCGTTCAGTGAAATTGGTGCAAATTGCTTAACAGGCAGTATTTCAAGCTTGTTTTTGTCTCTGAATGCTGTTTGGTGAAAGTCTATACGGGAAGTTTGGAAATAGGTGCCTAACTGTCAGTGTATCCGAGAGAAATATTGATTTAGATTATCTTAAGGAATAACAACAATAGTAATAATAACAAGACTTCATCACATGACCTAAAAGTCAAAACTGTCACTTGTCTGGCGTGTCATTGTTCATGGGAACTTGGGTGCGAGAGTAGAAGTGCACATGAATCTTTCAATATTGGATCGTGACGCCATTGAGGCGTCATCGCCGACCTTGCCTGGCCTTGAAAATTATAACTATAATAGTTACATCCTTTCCGTTGGTCATTCTTACTTATTCGTAATAGTTTGACTGTAAGGACTACTCATTATGATCATGGTCGAAGCTTTGAATTAGATTAAGCCAATGTCTGAATTTGCTAATTGTAAGCTAGTAATCGTCGCAGATATTTTCAGCTCAGACTTAAAATCTGGCATAGTGCTGTCTTATATTTTGATACTATCCACTTGAACTGGGCGGTAGAGCAACAGCTCGCTTCTTGCAAGGTCGTTCGATCCCCCCGATGGTCTAAGTGGCTGGACTCTATTTCTGTACAATCCCCATTGGTTTCCTTGTCCTCGTGCCACTTCCCCAAGTTGTATATGGTCATACTGACTTGGGGCTTTCTCTTCTAAATTACTTTCTCATATTTTGGAAAAATAATTCTTCGTCTTCGAAGCGAATAACGAATGGAATATTATGATAACTGATGTAAGCGTGAATGAAAAACGAACCTGCATATTTATGTGATATTCAATTCCTATAGGCAAAGCAAAATAATCAATGTTCATTCTATAATCAATAAACATTATTCCGTCCCTAATGAATGAACTGCATTGCTTGTTCGTTTTCAGCGAAAACGGGATGGAGAATCTTACACGGTTATTCAGCTGCCTTTCATACTCATCGATAACTATTAAATGATACTTTTGGACTTCTATCAATGTCTGGGTAAAAGCCACATGACAATATTTGCCCGTAAGCCTAGGTGAGGAAGAACACGCTTGCGTTTTTTATTAATCCATGTAGAAGTGATTGCTAACGTATTTGGATGTAAATGCAAACGTCTAGCTTATTGTGCAGCTGCGAGGAAAACATGTATTTTGTGTTGGCTGCATTTGGTCTATTACATTATTGTGTTGCCTGTCGTTGGAAAAGGAACAGATTGTTTTATTGGGCATGTTGGTCAAGAAAGAATTAACTGACTAGCTGGAAGGTGGTGGGCACGCGACCTTTGGACCAGTTGAGGCTCTGTTTTTCGGGGACATCGTTCGGGATTCAAGTACAGTAATCCCGAACTCAGTGTACAGTAATATACTCAGTGTACAGTATATATCATTAACTATATTTTAATTAATTATTTTAATATTATTTATTATTTTTTTCATTATACTAAGAGTATATTTTACATAGAGGATAGGTTTTGTACACACGCATCCCATGTTTCTGAGTATCACACATTTATTTAACACTTTAATGTTCACTATTCCCCGGAATATTTACCCTGCACTAATCTTGCTTTACATAGTGCTGATGCGCAGTATACGTGGTCACTTGCCTTTGTACATGGCCAGACTTGGCAATGACTGGATTTCTTGGTTAGAAAGATGTTTTATGCATCGTCCTTGACTATACCTCATCTGTGTGAGTACAGTAGCATATATTGAGAGGTATTGCACACGAGGAAGCTGGTGATGCTATAGTTGTTGCTGTGATTTTGATGATGTGACCGCGATGATGTAGGTTGTATGAAAATATACTTTTCGAATACCATAACTATACGAAAATTCAGTATATTTTCTCTAACATAGATGCATTAAGGAGAACATTGTTTAGTTTGTTACGTGGTTACTGCTAGGTGCCGAGGGACGAGGAGTTGCTCTTGGTATAGCCTCGTCCCTTCGGAGAACACAGGTCCATCTGGTGCGCTCCCAACAAAAGCGGAATACGCACACACACACACACATAAGGTAGTAACACTAGATAATACCGTCACCACTCAAGGAGGTACAGGAAGTCCTCGAATTGAAGAAGCTTCACATTTTAATACACGGTTTTGCAAGTAAGGTATACATTAACCCGAGGAAGGAAGGTGCAATGATGTCGGAGTTTGCTGCTGGACCTGTTTTGATGACGCAGTGTGCGTGGCGGGGTGAGTAGGGGTTGGGGGAGCTGGGTGAGTGGGGGTTGGGGAAGGGGGTGAGTGGGGGTTGGGGGAGATTGGTGAGTGGGGGGGAGGTGTTGGTGTGGCAGAGTTGCAAGGTGTTTTGAAGTGTTGCCAGATGGGGCTGGGAACTTAACATTATTTAATAACCATATTTCATTTGTTACATTCGCATGGTAACAATTTCGTTTCCTGTTTTGTATTGGCAGAGATAGGGGAAATATTTTGTTGCTGTCAGCGTTGTATATTTTATCAGTAACTGTCGGATGTGAAAAGTTCATGAAATTGTAGACAAACAATTTCTAGCGATAGTAAAGGTTTGTCATGGTCAACGCCTGGTAGTTAAATATATAAAAAAAGTATTGTTGGGTGTGGGTGGAATGAGCAAGGCTGTTGCAACATGGCCAGTTCCTAAGCATTTTCCATAGCTAGGAACTCGTAATGATCTTAAACTCGCTCCTATGTTAAACAAAAAAAGTTATAACATGCACCAAATAAACATACACAAAAAAGCTACATCCTCTCACGTGCAATTTAGTTTTTACATAGCAACTTGTAATTTCACCCTTGCTCTTTTTTGTGTAATTTTTTTGTGTGTGCATTTTATGTTTGAATTTTGAGTTAGTGAAGTTGTTAGGCGGAGCTCAGTGTGACACGTAGTGGGCTACGTGTTAGTGAAATTGTTTTAGGCGCAGCTGAGTGGGATATGCGTAGTGGACTGACTGGTGATGTCAGCCTCCCCACCCCGCCGCCTCCTGTGTATCCAGGACATGTGTTGATCTCTTGCTCTGACGTCATCAAGATGCTTGTGGCCTGTTTTATGTAGCCATTTTTTTGTAACGTTTGCTTTCACTTGTGCTTTTATATTTGATGTTTTGGCGTCTGAAGTTAGCCTTTGTTCCAAATTCCAGACTTCGTAGTTTTACTATAGCCTCAGGTCAAACGTTTTTGCAAGGCTATTCACACTGTTACATACTAGCAACAAAAAACAACATTGATGAAGTCATGCTGTTTGGTCAGTAACTTATGAAAAATGAGTTTAATCGTGTTTTCTGCTAAATCGATTAGTATGGCTAGTTTTTTTATGGGGGGGGGGGAGGGACTGTTGCAAGATACAGCCGCGTTCCTCAGCCCGTGACGTCATCCAGCGTCATAGGAACCTGTTCAGCATCTCTCCTCTCCTGCACCGTCTAGAAGGCGTTCCCTGTAGTGACCTGCTTCGGGTTGGTGTGGCTGCTCTCTGCTGGCTCAGAGAGTGTCTGGGGATTGGCTCCTAGTGCTGAATTGGATTACCTCGGGATGCCTGTGTGTATATGCCCGAAACGCTTTGCGTAATAGTGGCTTTAGGCATTGTATGTACTAGCTCTATCTATAAATCTATCAATTTTTGTAAAATCTTTTGTATGTACCTTACCTAAATAAACATTTATTTATTTATTATTTATATTTGGGGAGTTTTGCTGAATGAAAGCCTTAGGCGAGGAATGTACGCGAGTTGGCTAACCTATTTAACCCGTTGTAAAGAATGTTCCGTACGCTAGTTCATTGGGCTCTAGGAGAAGGTTACCTATACTGAGTAGGTAAGCTATAATTTTTATATTAGGGTTTTCGATAATTCATAAGGAGTTTTGAAGTTTTTATAGATAATATAAAAAAATAGCTAGCATTATGCTTATGAATGATTACTTTTGTATGTTAGCACTACAAGTTGGGTGCTCATACATGTTACATAGCGTGGTGAGAATAGCTTGAGCTACCTCGTCCCTTTGTGTGTATTTATACCTCAGTAAACTTATTTGAATTTGAATTGAATTTGAGTTGTGCGTTCAGAGCTATAATTTGCAATCGTGTCCCTGTAAGAACGGATTTGTATCAAAGTTTCTTTGTGTAATGATTATTTTTAACAGTTGTATGTGATTATACAACATTTTTGCGAATAAGAATGAAAGCTAAGAAAGTTCCAAAGGAGTCTGATCTAAAAGCAGTAGTTGGAGTTATCATTTTGTTGCATTATATCATTATAGAAAACTGTAGTGGTCAAATAAAAGTCACATACTTTGGATGGCATTCGTTTTTTAATTATTGGAGGTGTTTTTCGAGGCTGTAGGGCTATCAACTATCTGAATCTTATAGTCATACTCTTCAATATTCCTAATCCTGAGGATTTGACACTAATTTAATTTCTAGCAGAGATAAAGATTAAAGTATATTTAGTGTATAATGAGCAGGTAGGTATACAACATGTATACCACTGATCTGGTTGATAAGGGTTGCAATATTTTTCAAAGATAAATTCTCTAATTAAGAAAGTCTTGTGGGATCAACAAATGTAGTTGGGATTAATGCAGGTTTAGGCTTGAAGCCCTGTGTGATGGATATTAAGAAATTACATAATGAAGTTTCCTCTATAATTTTGGTCTGCTGCACGTCTAAAGTTCTCCAAACTTTCAATAAAACTACGAAAAATCACGAATAGCATATTTAACCTTCGAATAATTGACTAATTTTTAACCTTGAAACCTAATGCATCTCTGACCATCTTTGCCTATATATCTTTTTCTTTTGAGAATGCATCTTGTTCTGTGACAACATTGGAGCTTGTGCCATTAACATTATATATATTCTAGCTTAAATGATTATGCTATAAAGCGTCTCATTTTTGACTGTGTGAAAACTTAATATACTTCCTTTTTCATTACAGAGGACTGAGGTGATCGTACACCAAGAGGTGTGCAGCCAGGGCTTGTCATCATGAGCGCCACCCCGCTGCTGCTACAGTTTCCACAGACGCCTGCATCACCATCACCACTACATCACTCTGCCTCCCGCACACCAACCAACTTGCACCAGTCTCGCACCACTAAGCTAAATAATAGGAATTCTTTTCCACCTGATCAAAGTCAAGAATCTCGTTGGGCAGCTCTTCTAGCGAGAGCTACTCCCACCAAGCCATACGGTGCCTGTAGCCCTGCTCCTCTGCATAGTCATATATCTACAGCAAGTTGCCAGCCACATTTTGTGACACATCACTTGTCACCTGTCATAAGCCATCCACCAGCTGCCACAATCCAACCAACCATCACAACCTATCAGCCACCATCAGAAATCCAACAATCTCGTCCACCTGTCCAAAACGTTTCAAACTTTCGGCCACTGGTACCTACTGCATCCTTTAACCGTGCACTAACCTCGCCTACAGCTATCAAACTATTCAATCCCAGTCGCCGGTTAAACAAGTCACAATCACAACTAATCATGCCCCGCGTGAAGTCTTTCTTTCGGGCGGGACAGGGGTCTCGCTCAGCCAAGGAGAAAAAAGGGATGTCTAGAGACCACCTACCCCATGATGCATCTGTCAAAAGTTTAACCAACTACGGGGATTCAGCATCACCAGAACCACTTATCCGAAAGTGCCACACAGTTCTTGCGTTGTCCTCAACTGCGGGCAATTCTGCACAGACACGCCTTGTAAAGGAGAAAAAGGGTAACAAGTTAGATTTCCTCAGACGCATGTCACCATCTAAATCAGCTGTATTTGCATCTAATAAGATGACTATTGTCAAGTCTCCTACCACTGTATCCGATCTTCGACGCCTAAGAAAGAACTCGAGCACGTTGTTTCCTCAGGTGGAATTAGAAGGGGAAGGTAGTGGATGTTCTCGTTGCGCTTCTGCTGCCTCGATGGCCTCAAGACGCTTCTCAGGTCTTGCTCAAGACACAGTCTTCTGTAAGCTCTGCCTGTCAGATGTCTCCATTAAAGAAATGTACCAGTTGCAACAGTGCTTATGCCGATTCTGCAAATATGTAAGTTACAAGCTTATTCCTCATATAAATATGAGACATTATTTTGTCTAGAATGAAAGCTAATTTAACCAAAGTATCTGGTACCTAAGCGACTTATAGAAAACCAGATTTATATCATATTATGTGAAATATCAATCATAGCAGGTATTATCCCTAGGCTCAAGATAAAACTTATAACATGCTACATTTACTAGTACAGTATTAATAATATTCATTGTACATATTTATGTCTATAAAAGATGAGGATGAGTAAAAGAGTATTGTGTATATTTTATGCTGTGTAATCTTAAAAGTAATGAATATTTATTTGTTTCCCATAGTGCATGGCTGTGTATGTTACACTGAAGATCCGTGAAGGTGACAGTATCATTGAATGTCCTGATGCAAACTGTGATTGTAGTGGGGAGCTCACCCTTGAAGAGATGGAGAATTTGGTGGGCAGTGAACTCTATCAACTTCACCTGAAATTTAGAAAAAATACAGGTTTGTAGAGTTCCTGTGATAACACTGGAGTGAATAGATTATTAATAGCCATATTTCTAATGGAATCATATCCCTGACAAAATTTGTATTTCGCTATTATTCTAATTTTATGGCACTGTATTATTTATATAATATTTCTTTAAAACAGAGATAGACAGGGATCCAGTCAGAACATGGTGTCCAATGCCTGGTTGTGAGACTGTGGTTAATTTGCCGATTTCCAAATTGGAGGGACCACAGTGCACCACTTGCTCCACGTGCACTGCAGTCTTCTGTGCTGCCTGTAGCGAGCCATGGCATCCAAGTCAGCCTTGTCATGCAGACAATGCTGAATCATTGGTAAGAATTTATGTTTTCATTTGTAATATATGTACAATATTAGACATACAGTGAAAGCTGCTTAGTAGTCTAGTCTTAGTTAAAAGTGAAATATAGTGCAGTGGTTGTAACCAGTTGGTCTGCGTTTGATTCTGGGGATACGTGAGACGTTTGGGCGTGTTTTCTTACGTGTCTTGTATCTATCTAATCACCTTGCAGTAAACAAGTGTCTGGGGAATATGTTGAATTGTGGGTTGTGTCATAGTTATAACAACTCGATGGCTAGCATAACAAACTTCCTGTCCTTGACAATGAGAAACCATTATTTTGTACTGTATAGTGATAGAAATATGAAAACATTTAATTAATCCTATTGTTAATAATAATATCTCTTTGTTTCACCAGGCAGTGCCTAATGATGATACAATAAAGAGGTGCCCCTCCTGCAAAGTCCCAATTGAACGTGATGCAGGCTGTGCACAGATGCTCTGCAAGAAATGTAAACATGTCTTCTGCTGGTATTGCCTTGCCTCTCTTGATGTAAGTATACCCTGTATTACAATACAGTATTATGTATTTTTAATAAATTTTAAATGCTTAAATTGTATATATCATGACTGCATTTCAGTACAGTACAGTACTTCAATATTTACTGCAGAAAATTAGCATATGAAATACTATTATCTAGACAAAAATAGTATATCTGTCATTAGCTAACATTTTCATCTTACTGTCACCTGCTTTTATTATACCTACATTTGTAAAAGTTACATAACTTTATGTTTTCTCCAACAGGATGACTTCCTTCTACGTCACTATGATAAGGGACCCTGCAAAAATAAGTTGGGTCACAGTCGAGCATCAGTTTTGTGGCATCGAGCTCAGGTTATAGGTATCTTTGCAGGCTTTGGTCTGCTTCTTGTCGTGGCATCTCCCCTTCTTCTCTTTGTTGGACCATGCCTCCTATGCTGTAAATGCAAGCCCTGTTCTAAGCACGAGATTGAAGAGGATAGCTTATATGGCATCTAAATAGAGATGAAGGAAAGCTTTGAGTGGTATCCTAAACCAAAGAAAATGGTGTTCTAGGGATTCCAGTGAAATCCTCTGATGCTAAGACAATTAAGCTCAAAATGTCTTCAGCTGCATATTGAAGAATCCTTTGGTCTATTCATTGGTGCTGAACATTGACAAAAAATATGCATGACTGGAATGGTGATAAAATATGCAAGAAATGCATGAGCTATTAGGAACCTTGGACATTATTAAGCTTAACAATATAAAAGATGCAAGAATAAGGATTTTTCAATGGTTTTGTGGATGAATTGGAGTCCCAAGTGTCACAGTAAGATAAAGCTGTTATATTTTCTGTATGAATAGAAAATTAAGTTTCATTTATATATTTTGTCAGGGACTAAGAGCCTCAACTTATGCAGCTTCTGAAAAAAGTTTCAAGTTGAGTGATAATATGTAATGTGCCTGAAGAATTTTAGATCCATGATGTATTTGATAAATTTTAAAGTTGTATGGAATGTATATGTATATTGTACATGATGTGTATCTGATAATTCTATGAATTCATCAGTGCTCAGTTGGGCTGTTGATTTAAACGGGATATTGACGTCTTTAAATATTAATGACTTGGTGTAATAGCTGGATTGGTACTTAAAATGAACGGTTGCAGGGATGTTACTTATAGTAGTGCACAGTACTGTATTAGTAAGTACAGATTAACAATCAAACAAAAATATAATCCTTACCCTGAAAATTACAAGGTGAATCTCATTTCAGATTCTTATATAAAATGTCTGCTTTAAATTCTCCACAGAGGGTTGACAAAACAGGTAGAGTTTTATACCTACTTCTTTTCAGAACTCGAGTAAATCTTGTGCACGAAACATTATTCCTATTGCTTAATAGCTTTTCAATGTGAGCTTCTGTGTATCTGATGACACCTCTTAAATTTGCATATTATTTGTCATATTCCATTTTTCTGATACTTTTCAGATGAAAATGAGCCAGTAGGAAAATTATTTCCCTGTGGTATTCCTATATTAACGCACAATATAGTGAAAATTACTGTGATGCTTTGTAGCCTATATCACTGTATGGGTATCAAACACAAGAGAATAGTGATGTGGCTAGACTGTGCACTCGGTTGCCTTGTATGAGTGAAGAAATTTGTATTGTTAGGTCAATTTTTCACACTTTTAGGAATGGATAATATATAATATATTATTGGGATTATACAGAAGACATTTGAAAAGGACAATACTTTATAAAATATAAGTTAATCAGTTTCAGCAAAATTTTTAGTGTTTCAAAAGTAAAAAAGTTTTGAAGTGCTTGAATTTAATTCACAGAAAATATTCAGTTTTGTTCCAGAAAGTTGCTGTGTGTAATGAACTTTACTTCTGAATTTGTTCGTAATGGATGTTTGTTTCTTTTATTATGAATCTCTCTAAATGTATTAAATATAATTTATATTACTACTTTTGCTAATCTTAAATAACAAATACCTTAATTTGCACTTAATGTATCGAGACAAGGTTCATTGAGTAGCATCTCAATATGTGGTGGAGCTTTGATGAAGAAAATTTTATTACTATTTATTTGATGTACGGTACCTGAAAGCAGGTCAGTACTGTAAACCTAAATCCAATTTTTCATCATATGATGTCTGTGTACTATTGAACGAACAAGTTTAGTTAGTGTAATGTGATTTTCAGTGAATTTCACTGTTTGGTTATACATTATATCCTACTAGGAACATTTTTTCTCAAATATCTCAGCAAATGACTTCAGGTGTACTTGTCCAGTAGCTGAAATTTAACGTTATTTATACAAATTTGGTTCGGTAATTGTTCGCCCTCGTGTATCAAAACGTCAATACAACCTCATTTTGTGATCTTGAGAGTAAAGCTGTGTTAATACATTTTGTGACTGTAACAAATATATATACAGAATTTGTACAATATTTTTCTTTATTAAAAGTGATTTTTTCACATCTTATATAATTTTGAGAGCCTTTATTATACCTAACAAATTCATCAGATAAAAATTGGCTGTGATACAGTAATAAGGTGGATAGCTGAGCCTCATATGCTTGTATTCACCAATTTTAACAAATATGACTATAGTCAGGTGTGAATGTGTGCATGAAAGTACTGTTCTGGGCTCTTTATTAGACTGTAAGGTAATGAGCATTATTTTTTATATTTCAAAATATTTTTTCTTTGCACTCTTCACTTATGTAATGGATCTATATTTATGTTATTTCGCTGATTATTTATCAGTACATTCTCATCTTTCAACAGTACAATGATCTCATAATTTGTTTACACTTCAAATGGTGCTATAGAATTTATGTATGGATAATATTAGATTTTTTATGAGCCAGTGAATGAAGCTCCTAAGTGATAAATTTGTAGTTACCTCTCGACACCAAATAAGCAGATATAAATTTAAATGTGATATTTTGTACATATTTCACTGCTATGTCATTACATTTAATATTAGCACATTATCACATCTCTTGCTAGTGTACAGCTTGCACTCTGCCTCCTTCAACTCTTCTTTTCACTAGTTCATAACCTCAACCCATATGTTTACTGTAGATTACAAGCACTGCTATTCTGATAATGTCTTCAGTAACTTCTCTAAATCATCCAAGTGACAGGACACTGTGTTGTCTTCCTGTTAAGATAACAGTACTCTTGAGCCATCTTGTAATTGGACCCTCCACTGCCATCCAATAATGCTGTAGATACTTTTTTCAAGTCACTACTACCCATATTCATCTAATTAGCACTCCTCAAGGCCTTCTGTAATTCGTGAACGTGTTGCTAAAGCAATTTTGCTCAATAACTGGTACACGCAAACTCACAATGTACTGTACCACCAGTTCGTTTTAAATGTCGTGTTCAATATGTGAAGCGCAAATAAATGCACAACCTCCGTGAAATAAATAATAGATAGAAAGCTATTCATATAATTTAAAGGCCAGCATTTATCATATTGTGAACAATAATTTGGATTATACCATTACTTCAGTGGTCCATTTATTGTACAGTATATCAGTGTTCTGCATCTACTTCATCCTCTACTGTCTTATAAAATATCACTATAGATTATACAAGAATTCTCTCCAGTATGAATCTCAAATCTAATGATCTCTTTATTTTCCCCACAAACTTTGTATGTATTGTACTGATAGTTGATTCATAAATGTGGGGAGAGTGAGTGCTATATTTATGTACAGTACTTATGTGGCGCAATAAACTCCACTGGTATCTTAAAGCACTTTAATTCACACCTTTGAATTCAGTACACTGGGTAAAATAAGTTACTAAAATTGGACAAAATAATTATCGAACTCCTCCTGACGGTAATTTTGATTTTAAAATCAAGAGGTACTCGCAGGGTTAAATGGTGCTATACAAGTTAATGAAATTGAAATGAGAAAACTTTCTTACTGCCGAGGTGTCAAAGACGATAGATACATCAATGATATCAATGATTAGAAATGTCATCGTAATTCTGAAGGTTTGATTGTGATCATTGACTGTCTAACGACAGAAATAATTAAGTTCTGCAAAATATCACCGACATTCATGATGTACTGAGTGACAGTAGTCTATGGTCTCCCATTGTCGGCAACAGGCTCATCAAGGTTTAACTACCAGCTATGAACCCAGAACATAACCTTCTAGGCCACCAGAACCTTCCTTAGGATACAGCCCACAACAGCTGCTTAAATCACGGGTACCAGTTTCCCAATAGGCGAATAGAGGCATCAGGTGTAAGGAACTGTTATTAAACCACTAAGTGTCAAAAGGCAGTACAGGTTTGAACTCGTGTTAGTCCACATATTTATTGCTTAAATGAGAGACATCACGCACGGCCAACTAGGGGCCTGATTCACGAAACAGTTACGCAAACACTTACGAACCTGTGCATCTTTTCTCAATCTTTGGCGGCCTTGTTTGTAATTATTAAACAGTTAATGAGCTCCAAAGCACCGGGAGGCTGTTAATAACAATAACAAAGGTTGATTGGGATATTTTCATGCTTGTAAACTGTTTAATAAATGTAATCAAAGGCGTCAAAGATTGACGAAAGATGTATGGGCCTGGGGCACTGACCTCAGACAGGCGCAGGAGTCACTTTCACAACCACAATTTTATACAAATTAGTTTAAGAACAAAAAATAATAACAGGGAAAATATAGTAAAAGGAATCATATAATAAAATAACAAAAATTCTACCTTGAAATTTTAAGAAATGCATTATGTAATGAACAGTCTGTAAACAGATACAGTATACTTAAAGACAAATCGAATACCCCCCTAAAAAATACATAGTATTTAAAAAAAACATTTCTTGTCACAAAATGATTACTAACAAGCGTAAATTAATTATATAAATAACAAAATTTTTCAAGAAATTCAACGCAGCTGATCGGCACATGTTGACAAGCAATGTTTCCTTCCTCTGGTGATTTTTTGTTCATTTTCTCTGATATTCTAAGATGAATATGAATACCGTGAGTGTTCACAGTGAAGTAAGAGTGTGAGAAGGAGTTGGCGTCGCCTAGGGCGCAAAATAGTATGTGACTGGCCCTACAGACACGAAATAAAATATCAAGAATATTCTGTATTGACCACACTGACGAGGCTCTTTTAGGTCAATAAAGTCCACTATTCATCTTGTGACCCGCAGATGGCTACTGGACATTTTAATAGCAAAATTATGTTTACGAAAATGTTGAGACTATAGCTGGTAACAGGTAAACGTTACTAAACCTTATTTAAAGCCAGGACATCGGGGAATAACGCTCGGTTGTCTTAACTAGGCTGGACAGATTCTTCCGCTAGTTTGTTTTAAAATTCGGAAAAAAATATTATTTATGTGATTAATTGCGAATGGAAGATAATAAATAAAGAGCCATAAGCCCAAACTACTGGTCAGACGAATTGTTGCTGCTACAGATTCTCTTATAGCAGTTAATCTCCCATTTGATTCCTCTAGACGTTAAAGCACCACAGGTGCTCTAGTGGACATAGCAATTTACAATAACAAACCCTAGTGGACATTTAAATTTATATTAAAAAGCCCTGGTGGACATGGAAATCTATATTAAAAGGTCCTGGTGGACACGGAAATTTATATTAAAAAGCCTTAGTGGACACGGAAATTTATATTAAAAAGCCCTGGCGGACACGGAAATTTATATTAAAAAACCCTGGTGGATATGGAAATTTATGTTGAAATTCACTCATTGGAGATGCCGAAAAAAAATATCCTTAGTGTCAGTGCTCTTTGACCTCGAGAAAAATGTAATAACACTACATGCAAATATATTTGAGCTCATAACACTTCAAGCGCTTACAAAGTGGAATAACTTTCTCCTCTTGGCATCAGGACTATGCAGGGGTCTTATATGTAAGTATTTTTAGCATTATTTATAATTGTTGTTAATGGTATCATATCCTGCTTCCCAGATCGGATATATTGTGCATTATATAAGATATTTAATTATATATATTGATATATAATTATATTTATTATATATAGATATATAATTATAATATATGAGAGATGTAGTTATATATAATTCTAGTGCTCGGGGACAGGAAGCCTGTACTTAGGTTTGTATTAAGGTTCCGCCATGTCGAACTACTGACCTTCTCCAGGATTTTACCTGAATTTACCTGAGGGCAATCATCTTCAGGGACAGGAATTCGGCGGCTTTGTCAAAGCCTCCCCCCCCCCCCCAGATCCCCATTTTTCCTGAGTTTTTTTTCTAACTGGATTTTGAAGTGTCTTGACATCTAATTATTTACAGGGATGATAATTATGTAATTATATAATTTACTTAGTTACGGCTTCGGCGGGTAGGCGGTTCCATTTATATAACACTGTGTGAAAAAGCTTCTGCTTTCTGTCCTATCTTAACAGTTGCTTAACTCTTGAGTATTTATTTACTGCTAAGTGAAAAGAGGCACTTGGTGAAAGGCAACCATTTCAGCCCCGCTGTAACAGTGACGATTTAACCCATAAGAAAACTCCAACAAACAACATAATGCATGGAACTGGGCAACTATCAGTGCGTGAGAAGAAGTGAGCAACACTTTCCCTGCGTCATGGTGATTGCTTGGTTACAAGCAGACAAGTATTCTTTGATGATGTGGGCGGCATGTTGCGCCCTGAGGGAGCAGTGTGACGGTGCATGTGTCGTCTGCAAGTGCACTTCCATTGAGTGAGTTGCAGCCACAAGAAATTGTATGAGTTTCAGACCTAAATTCATAGATATACTCACATTCAGTTACATAGCGATGTTGGGTGTACAGTGTTTTACTTATTGTTTAAGATGGGGTAGTTCTGTACCAGCAGGAGGTGCAGACTCTTAGATAAATGTGCCACTCACACATTTACCTGGGCCACTCATTTTCAGTGGCCCAGTCTTCCTACTCATCATTTGGTGTACCTGAAAGAACCCCTTTATGATTTGTTTTTGTCTGCCTAGCTATACGTACTTCAAAAATTCACCTTATTTCTCTTGTTTATATTTTAGTAATATTCTTGATTATTTGTTGTTCTAGTTACACCTCTTTATCTGTTCCGATAGTTTCAAAACCCTGCTTATATTCTCCTTGTTTATGCCCCTCACATTTTTTATAGTCCCCCTTGTCCTGTGCCTGTAGCGGATGCATATTGAAACGCTTCAGTCGTTTCCATAGCAAAGGTCCCCGATACCAGGTGTCGGCCATTGTCTTCGCTTCTCTGTATTTTCTGTAGAGTGTCTTTGTCCATTGTGTAGCACGGCGACCAGAACGGTGCAGCGTAGTTAAAGTGGGGGCTCGCCAGATGTGCAAATAGCTGAAGAATGATTTTCGTGCTTCTGTTCCTGACGATATTATAAACCCCGGCACTGTTTTATTTCGTGTATTGCTGTATTACTATTTCGACCTCATGATGCTGCTAACTGGGCCCATCATTGGAGTTTAAGTTTCTTTGCA